TGGAAAAGAGCGGCCGAGCGGGAAGAAGGAAGAGCACGGCCTGAGAGGTGCCCGGGTGGGGGATTGCACGGACGTAGCCGGATAGCCGTGTATAATGCATAAGAGAAGCGGGAAAGAGTAACGAACTGGCAAGGTCGAGCGTGGTAGGCCAATGTCTCGTCCTCGTAGTACGAGGTGAACCAGCAACTGCCTCTTCGCGTTGCTCGCCCGCTGCAACCGCCACCGCCACCACCACCGCTGCTGCCGCTGCGCCGCACTACCATCGACGCGATCCCCTTCTCAGCTGCAGCTGCAACGGTCCAACACCGAGCCGAGGAGCCCGGAGACTCGGGGACCGGTGAGCGAACAGGCCTTCTTGCAGCATTGCAAGGCCGCAACCGCGAGAAACCGGCCAGAAGAAGAGGAAGTGACCGGGTGGGAGTGACGCATCGATGGAACGCCGGGCGAACGATAAAGAGGGACGATTGCCCGGTCAGCGGGCGCCCAGGAGGGTGGGTCGGGGAAAGCGTGCACTTGAACGTCGTCCTACCGCAGCTATTGCTGTGGATGCGTAAATCACTCGCTTCTTTCACGCCCCTGTTACGTAACTAATTCGGCATCACCGGTTTCGGTCAGGTCGCGAGATCTCACTTTCACGGTATTCTAGATTATTTTATACACTCGACCGATATGGCTATTCTATTTCATTTAATTGTTGTACAAATGGAATTTTAAATATAAGTAAATGGATTTATATATAAAATTATTCATTGAACATCAGTTGAATTCATGACAGAACATAAGCTTTTGGATAAATGTGTCAAATTGGCACGAATGGGGGTTAACGGTATGGAGACGTTTCTGGTCACTGGTAAGAATTCGATTAAAAAATGAATATCATCGTTTTTTTTAAAGAGAAGAGTATTGGTATATCTGTCGCTTGCGGTAGGCCTACATTTCAATACTATCCGCTTTCCCAGCTCGACTGTGTCTATATCTCTCACCAATCGAGGCATGATCCCATGAAATAAATCTCTTTGTAAATTGATCCACTGCTATTTCAAGTTCTGTCACCGCGATACTGATTAATGCGGGTACACCACAATGTGCTTAAGAAGTTTCGCGTTTTCTTTTATTCATATTGTGCGCCTACTTACCATTATTCATGCGATGACATACTCAGCCTTCGATATTTGAAACTATTCTCCAACATTTTGTAGTGTTCTAAAAGTTGAAAGAAGAATAATCCATTTATTCGTCACTCTTTCTGTAACTGTTTAATTTATTCTTTTTGCTGTACATAATTTTCAATCTGAATTATACGAAATAAATATATAAAGAGAAGACGCTTTATGGTTTTGAATAAAAATTAATTTCAATCGATATTATCGAATAATTTTGTTGCCAAATTCTGTTGTACCTTAAAGCATTTCATCTTTTCATGAAACTTAGTAAACTTATTCTTACTTCAACGTGGTAATGGAGTCGAGGTGTTGTCAAAATAGTCTTGGTTATTTTCTGTTACCTGGGCGCAAGGTTTGGTGCACCTGCGATGGTTAGGTAACTTTTCAATGCCCGAGCGGAATTCACCGGATCTCTCACAGAATTTCCGTGTTGCTTGCCCGATACGCTTAATGTTATGCCATTCATTTGGAGAGTCCTCCACCGAACTGCGGGCTCCGCATGGGAACGATCAAGGGTAGAGAAGAAAAGATTGGCGAATCGAAAGGGACGCGCGGCGAAATAAGGAGAAAGAGAGGCGAGCGAAGTAGCGAGAGTAAGGCCAATCTATCGGCTGTTATCCGGGACAGAAAGATGCACCTATCCACTCCCGCGGCACATAGACTCGGCGTCCTTTTTGTCGTATCTGCCCCTCCGTAGCAGCCGCCCGTCTCTCCATATCTCTGAACATCTCTGTCCCTTTTCTGCATACCGCGTACGTTAACCGGTGGTTACCTAAACCCAATGTATCGAGGAATGTTCGCACGGTTCGTCCGCGACGGAGGGTATCCGCCCATCGTTAATTCCCCGAACATCATAACGATGTCCCAAGGTAATTTGAAAATCCTCGTTAACCGAGAGGACTTGCGTTGCGCAGGTATACTCCTTTTCGTGATCGAGCTTAGATCCTGAATCGATGGCCGGCGATGCTCGTCACTCGATCGGGGGAGTGTCGATTCGTATAATTCATTAAGTGAAATCAGGGGATGTCACGGACGGATTCATTAAGCGCTCGTGCATCCCGTCGCGTCGCGTCCTGTCGCGATCAATTTAATCCGCAAACCGTGGTTTCCGAGTGGATACGAGAAAGATGCTCTCACCATGTGAATTTCCACGTGTTCTTACTCGATGAGAATCGACGGATTCGTTCAAACGGTTTAACACTAGCCAGGAATCGAGCAGATCAGTTTACTTTTACTTCAGAAAATGGATCGCAGTATGATTGCTAATAAATGACTATATCTGCGACGACTACGTAATTACTATATGCAACTACTAATATACAATTGGGTTGATATCAGTAATATATAGAAACGTGTAACGACATGTTCTTTAGTGTCATAAAAGCGGACGGAAGGAACGTTTATGTGTCACGGACATTTCATTTAAAGATAAGATGATGCATCCTTAATGATACTTTTTGTTATCTCCGCTAAGAAACCTCGAGATATAAATAGCTGTATTTACCTTAGTTTCTTGTATATTGCGCGAGGCGTGTATTTGCATTTAGTGTCGAGGCTCGCATAAGAATATTTTGCAGCGAGTGCTGACTACGGACCCGTATTAAGTGCGTTTCATTAAGGCTAAAAATTCGAGGCAAAGGAGCACTCACGTTGTTTTTTATAACGTTGTCTGAACGCTGAATTATATAGCTTACCTACGACGAGTAAGTCGCAGGGACGTAGAAAGTATATAATTCCAGCGATGAAGCTGTCAATGTGATATTTCTTTCTTTACGAGATTTATACACAATACAGAGGCTGAAACGTTTTATCCTTTATTTTATAACACATAAGATTGACATGGCCATGACATACATATTTTTTTATGCGCGTTGAAAATTTTCATCTAATTTAAGTACTTATTTTCAGGTAAGGACGACAGTTTCTACTTGCTGATTTATTGCAGTATCTTCTTATTGGTAAGTGTGTTTAGACATCGCATGCTACAGATTTTCGCAATAACTAAGAATTTCATCGTGTACTATATTATACCAAATTATCACAAATGAAATGATGCGCGTGGTTGTTAGCAACAATCATGCCTGAAAGCTGGAAAACGAACAATGAGCATTAAACTGCGCAGGTCGTGAATCATCAGCATTGTCCCCTGTACCTGTACAACGCATTAACCGCGGTATCATTGTCGCGGCGCGAATCGGGTTATTACCAGGGAAAATTCTATTAGCCGGACGTATTTCTCTGTCGAAAACGATGGGATGTCTCGATTATAGGCCAAATATTCGACAAACACGGTTATAGCGGCCCGTGCAAACACTTTGTCCACGACGGTCGCCGCTAACTTCTCTATAACGTAGCCCTGGCATTGTGGTAACGTCCACCTCCGTCGACAAAAGCGGTCCACCCTCTTTGTTCTTTCTTCATTTGTTTCCGGATTACCCGTTCTCTCTTTCTGTCCCCGTTCGGCACTCGTTTGCTCGCTCCAGTGTGCGGGCGTGCGCGCGCTAGCGCGCTGGAACAGTTCCCCGTGTGTACACGCTCTTCCGCTTCGCCCTCTTTGTTCCGCTTTTTCGTTTCGGGAATATTTACGCTATCGCACAGCCTCGTTTGTTACTCCCTGTGGCACGGGGGCCGATAATTACGTTGCGGCCGTTTGTTTTAACGCTAATAACAACCCGTGACCTCGAACGACCACTACCGGTCCTCTCCTCTGCTCCGACCGGTGCGGTGGTTGCACAGCCACTGGTTCTCGTGAATCCTCCGCGCTCCACCGTGTAACGAGTATATAAGGAACAAAAGATTAAAAAATCAATCTTCGCTAAATTGATATTATAATTCATTAACCCCTCAACACCGTTTATTATATCAATTTATGTAGCGTAAGAAAATCAATTATCGTTGCTGTCGCGATTTAAACTTTTGAATAGATTTGAGATGGACACATTCTTAAACGAATGCAATGATTATTTTCTTTATCAGTAATATAAAGTATATGAATTTATAATAGATAAATTCAACCCAAATTGTGTTGTTTAAAATTATTTTAAAAAATATTTCGACTAATTCACATTTTGAAATTCTGCAGAGACAATGCTCTGAAAATTGAATGAACCCTTTAAGATTTATGAAATTGTTACTTTTGGTCACGTACGTAACACCGTAGCGATTTCCACGCCCCTCTGGAGTATTCGATATTTAATCAAGCCGTCGACAATTTTCCGATCGCCGATAAGGCGGCGTCGAGGATTTCCTGATAATAATTAATGCGCCCGCGTCTCCGCTCGTATAGGTAAGTCATGCGGTTCACTCTCGAGTGCGTTGACCGGTTCGTGTTATTCATAATTGAACGAAAGCCAATTGCGAACGGTCATTGGATGCATTACTCTTTCCCTGCGATTCCCGACAACTTAGCCGACGAACGCTACGAAAGTTGCTTATTTAGTTTCCACATTTTTTTCACACACGTGAGAGAGCGATCGTACATTCAGAAAACTTCTGAGCAATCAGTTACTCATACGTATGAGTAATTGTGGCGCAAATTTATAAAATAATATCAATAACCTGAAATTTGATTTAACGAAATTTATACTTGTAATAAAATTAAAAATGCGCATTTTTACGCATCCTTATCAAAGTACAAACTAAACGACGATTATTCTGTTAAAAGAACTCATTACTTTCCCATCCAAATTTGATTTGCAATTACAACAAGCTTTATTTCTCTACGTAGTTTCACGCAAATTTTAAAACCAAAGCTCCTGCAATGGACCTTTTTGACGCGGCTTGTATCTGATTCATTATATCGTATAATAAAACTTCTGAGCAATCAGTTACTCATACGTATGAGTAATTGTGGCGCAAATTTATAAAATAATATCAATAACCTGAAATTTGATTTAACGAAATTTATACTTGTAATAAAATTAAAAATGCGCATTTTTACGCATCCTTATCAAAGTACAAACTAAACGACGATTATTCTGTTAAAAGAACTCATTACTTTCCCATCCAAATTTGATTTGCAATTACAACAAGCTTTATTTCTCTACGTAGTTTCACGCAAATTTTAAAACCAAAGCTCCTGCAATGGACCTTTTTGACGCGGCTTGTATCTGATTCATTATATCGTATAATAAATTTTTTTCCTTTTTACGCGGCTTAATGAAAACGGGCCATCCTGTTCTCGCTCCGTTCCACTTCGTAAATCACTGGGAGCTTTATACCGTTTGACGCAATTGCGATGGCTTACCTATCTCAAACGGCTCGTAAACGAAAAGCAAAATTTTGTAATTAAAAGCGACGGCCTGGCAGCGGCCAAGGTCGAAGAGAAACTAGTTACATACGTATAGTACCGCTGATGAAAAGAAACGCGTAACATTAACGCCAAGGCTGTACGGTACGAGATAATCGCCCGGCATACCAAAGTTTATTGCTTGCTACAATTTGACCATTCTTTAATAGTTAGAACATTTAGCGTTCATTTTTAATATAACTGTGCAACGTCATGATTTTGTTGATACAATCTAGTATATCGTGTAAAATTTATAGATATTAATGATAGATAAAAGAAAAGTAGATTAATTATTGGTACGTGTACATGACGAGAAAGTATACGCTTAATTATGTTTGTCGCTTAAATTGGAAGACGTCAGATAGAAACATTCATAAAAATATAATAATTCGATACAGTATTTTTTTTAATATGAAGGCAATACAAGCTATACATGCTGTCTAGTCTTTTTATTGAGGTCAGAGACTTCGACGCGACGACTTACCAAGATTTTTTGTATTGCCCATACCCGTGACTCTTAAGCGCAATAATGGAGCCGCGTATTCTGGATCGGGATTGAAAAAAAGGGGTTGAATGTTCGAAAGCATCTCGAGATTCATTGGAGCAGTAAAAGCGTCGTAAATTCCGCGGATGTCCGAAGAAATTTAAACCGTTCCAGAGTAGTATGACGATCGTAAAGCGAAGGAGGGCCTGCGGTAATTGGCAGTTTGGCGCGGCGAAATACTTCAACGTCCCGCGCTAATTACCTAAAGTTAAGCGTTCGTGCTGTGCCAAGTTGCATTTTGCAATTCGTGGAGTGCAATCGACGCGCACTAGAGTGCTCATCGCCCTGGTCTGCCCTGCTCTGCCCTGCTCTGGCCTGGCCTGGCCTGGCCTGCTCTGCCCTGTCCTGGCTGGCTGGCCGACGGACCTAATTCGTCGTGGCCGATGTATCTACCTACCCTATGTGTACCTCTGCTCCGCTGACTCCGTTGAAACCAGCCGCTCCGCTTGCTCTCGGCTTTAGGACATCGTATTCAAATGTAACTACGTGCTGCCAGTGACGGCGTAATATATAAACTTGTTATATGGAAATAGATGCGTGTTTTTACTGGCTTTCCACCAGGACCACGGGTGGAGGAGGCGGCGTCTCCTCCCTCTCTCTTTACTCTCTCGCTTCATTTCTCCCTTTCTCTTTCGTTCTCGCCAGTCGTACTCTTTCTCTTTCTCTGGCAACCGGCGGTTATGCAAGTCAATTTAAATGGGCTGCCGGCATCCCCCGGTAGCTCGTTACCAGTTTGACGTTAGGTGCTCGCCCGTTCGACCCGATAACCGGCCTCGCTAATTAAGCGCGTTATACTTTTTGGCCTTGGCGCCGAGATTAGTTGCGGAGATACGATTGGGCCGGGACGATCGTCGTTACAGTTATCATAATCCGGAATCGCGAGCCGGCTCGTTCATTTTCTTCGTTCGCTTCACGGGGACGTATGCACCATAACCCTCGCAAAAGGCAGATAACCAAAGAAAAATTTCAACGTGATGCACTAGCCAATACGTACATGCGTCATTATATACTTGGGTATATTTATTCTATGACGGAATCTGAAAACTCGTCGTATATATATATATCGTTTCGTGAAGATGTTTCGTTTTTCCTTTGCCAAGGGTGGTAGGCGAAACAGTGAAAACGGGCCGCATTATTTTTACTCTTAATTATCCGTTATTATACTCCGTTACTGTCGCCGTTACTGCGCTTCAATCACGTCGCTGCCACCGGCGTTTAATAATGCGACGCGTCGCGACGCGGTAATTAATCTGACCTCATTAACATCGGCGAAGTTTCGGTTGTTCGCGGCTTCTCGCGGAAGTCATCGTGTAACCTTGGCGGTGACGTTTAAATGTCCTCGCGCAAATTTCAGAGGACGTTGCTCGCGAAGAAACGTTGCATTTTCTATGTCGCTATGGTTTTTTTTCACCCCAGCACCGCTCTTCTCTTTTTTCGTTTCGTGAAAATTTTATGTAATTACCTTATGGTACAGTTTATCCTTCGTGAATGGAAAACATTTTCCAATTTTCCATTGAACAAGTTCATTTTGTGCGATGTAATAGCGTTCTAAATCCATGTAATGAAAGTGTCAATCTGTCGAGAATCAAATTACAGTTTTATGCAGAAAATTCAAATGCTCCTAGCAAGGTTTCTATTAACTGATTCATAGATATACTTCATTCGAATAAAAATTCTGGAAAAAATCGATATATGCTTGCAAGCTCGTGTCAGAGAAAAGAATTTTTCTGATAATTCTTGCTTATTAGTTACATCCGTTTGGATTATAAATTAGTAGATGACATTAGTTCATATTGATGTACATATTTGGAAAATACGTTCTTGTTGGAAATACTTACAAGAGTTTTTGGTTTCCACATGAATAGCTTTAAGTCACAGTTAGTTGCTCCTTTACGATAAGTCAGAGAAGAATTCACGATAACTCTACGTTTCATCATTTTACGTACGTATGTTATTTTATTCACATCAGATACAATTCCCTATGAAAAAGTAACATGCTATTCGAGGCTATCCAAGTAAACGGCGTTGTACATATACTTTAGTACGTAAGTAAATTGTTGTATACGAAAAACAGTGGTGAACCGTGGTTTGCGATCTAATACGAGTGAGTGCAAGCGACGGAGAGTTCTTACAAAAAGAATTGGAGGATATAACCGGGTATCGGATGCAATGTCCAACGTGTACCGCGTCTGCCCGGTGGTTCGATATTAAATCTTTCGACCGTTAATAACATCGAACGACAAGCGAACGAGAAGGTCAGAGAAAAGGAGGAGGTCTTTGTTATCTCCTTCTCGAGGAGGCGGGTGGGTATATCCGGCTAGTATCGGCTCAAGCGGTACGTGCTTCATTGTTACGGAATAAAATTTCATCGAGCGGACATTCCGTGCGCCGGTTCGAGGATCAGCTTCTCCTACAGAATTCCATTTCGCCGAGAAACTGAGAGAGGTTCCCCGGCTCCCCCTATATCCCCCCACCCATCGCTCCACCTCGCGTTCGTTAATAAAGAGTACTTTTGTAACGATGTTTCATTACGCGGCCCGGTCCCGTTCCCATTCCTTTTCTCCCCGGTAAGCAATTTCCCCCTTCTGTTATATCCCTTTTCGGACGCGGCGCGGCGCGGCGCGGCGCGATGGTGTTAAAATTGCCGCGAGACTCTTCGCTTTAAATTACCTTCTCGCGAAAACGACAAGGAGGACCATCAGGAGCGAAAGAACGGTTCTCGAGTGTCATATCGAGTCGAGAGAATCGAGTATTCTTGACAGGCAAAGTACCACTTTATATCTCCTACTACCTCGTCGCTCCGTTCCAGTCTCCTTTGATAATCGTCATCATTTTTCTAATCTCGTCTAAGGAAAGTGTGCATTAGTACCAAGTAGTTTGAGATAAGAAAATCCGGGGCTCAACTTTTTTTATTTAATTTAAAGAATCTTTCCATGATTATTGGAATTATTCTGATAATATAAACCTTAATTAATCACGTAATGCGCGATTCCGTATTCTTTTTATTCGGATTTGAAAAGAAACGCGAATTCGCGGTGAATATTTGAAAGAGCGGCCGTCGCACCGGAAATGTTTAGAAGACACTGAATTATTCAGTCGATACCCGGGAGACAGTTCGACAGGGAAGATGCTGGGACAGCGACAGCGCGTCGCGACGGTCCGTATTAATATGCCGATCGCGTTTAACATTGAAATTCATTTTTCGCCAGGCTTCAATTACACGTATAATTAATCTAGTCTCCGCGCAGTCGGACGGGAATACTAAATTTCGTCGATCGCGAAATAATGTACCGCTTGTAATAAATAGCGCGGCGGCGCGTGCCGTAAATTCGAGCCGCAACGTGGTCGCCAACGCGATCGGTGTATTAATAATAGAATTAATAACGAAAGATTCATAGCGGCAGATAGTTATTCATATTGTATAGAGAATATCCCGTGGCACGTGGTTGATACTGATTCAGCAGTTATGATCAATGAAAAATGTTCATAAACCCGTGCGCGTCGTATTTCATTCTATATTTCTTGTCGATCTTATACGACTTTAAGAAAACGAATGGAACGCTATACGTATATCAGCCAACTGGTTTATCCAACGATCAGAAATAAAAAAACGAATGTGTCTAAACGATTTCTAGCAATGGAGACTAACGAGTATACTGTAATTACGATCTCGCAGAGGTGACGCATTCTTCGGTGCGAGAAAAGTAATGACGGCGGGCGATTTTTAACATTAAATATGCGGATCGACTCGCGACAACGTCGTTTCTACGCGCGAGGATCATTTAGCACCGTGCCGTATTCCACGCAATAGCGACGAGCGAGCGGAACGGGCAGGACAGATGCCACTATGTACGGTCTCCGGATTTTCGAAACTGACTCGTCATTTATCTCTAACGGGCTTACCGGTGGCTGTCGCGAAAATAGTGTACAGTGTGACTATTCGTATCCGCTCGGTTCATCTGGCCATTTGTCTTTCGGTAGGCGTCGCGCCGCGTCAAGCACGAATGAGTACGCAGCGGGTGAAGTCATCCCAAGTAGATCCTTACGCGAGATATGACGAACATCTCTCGGTACGAAAGTACGTACCCGTACTCTATGTACGATATAGAAGTATGTACGTTGAGATGTCGTCGTCGTCGTCGTCGTCGACAACGTCGTGAAGACGCGCGCTTTACTTTCCGTGCACGTATGCACGTACCAGACCATAATAAATAGCGCGGAGAAGTTCGCTTGGCAGGAGCGAGAGAAAGAGAGAAAGCGAGAGATAAATTGTGGGAGAAGAGAGAAGCCGATAGGATAGGCGATAGAAGAGCACGAGGACTCCGTTTGACTCGAGGAACCTTGTATTTCCGACACTCATTACTAGCGTGACTGATGACACGTGAACGGAAGCGACAAGAAAACTACGCATTCTTCTATTTATAGAAAACCATAAACTACGTTTCCTGTTTATACGTCGACAGTATCTAACTTTCGTTTGAACTCGTGTTTTAATAATTAATTTCAAAGAAGATGACAGGATCAAACCTCGTACGTGTTTCCAACGCTCATTACTCGCGTGACTGATGACACGTGAATGGAGCCGGCAAGAAAAGCACGTCCTCGAGGACTCGTTTTCCCCTCCTTTCTTTACTGCCATTCTTTCCGTCCACTTCTGCCCTTCTCGCTTTTCAGTTTCTGTCGCATACGCGGTGACGAATCGAGCAATTCGTGCATATTGGCTCCTTCCTTTTATCACTTCCTTTCTTTTACGAGCCACCCGCTTCTCTGTTATTCGTTCTCTCATTCGTCTCGCCGGCAATTTTTCGACTTACCCCGGTATTTTGCACGCAATCTCGCAAGTACTCGCACGGTTATAAGTGCCTCGTAAACATTATTCCTTGATAGATTCTATTTCCCCAATCGTCAGATTACCCACCGCAAAACATTCTTCAGCTTTTAGTTCCACTGTCATTATTCATAATACAACCTCGATGTGACTGTAACTGCTTTTAGCTCCAGGCGACCAATAAATGACACTTTAGTCCCTGCTACCGCGGACAACTGAACGCGCTCCAGCGATTAGATCTATTCTATACAGCAGGAATGTTTAATACCTACTATTTTACTACGATCTGTCAATTTCGGATTTGCTATTTTATTGAACGAAAGCCCGGGTATAAAATTTTGTTAATACTACAGCGTTATCTTATAAATTGCATTAAAGCCCATTGCGCAATGTACAGTTTATTATATATCTGCCTTCCTCTCTTTCTTACCAGGCTAAACGGGTTTCTGATGTATCCCCTTAACCCTTCAGGGTACGACGGAGCAATGAAAAATGTCTTGTACGCACGCACAGTTTAAACGCATTTTTCCCCCGTGTTTGAAAAAAAAAAAATAGGCGAGTATCGGCCGATGGCTACAATTACTAGGCAGAGGCAAATCACTGATAGCCGGACCCGGGGGTCCAGCTATACGTATAAAGAGATCACGCCGGGCGTCGATGTTGCTCCTAGCAATAGAACCATTTGGCGAGGGCGCAGAGGGATGGAGGGATCAGACCATATTATAATGTAATCAAGTATGGGTGGATGCGCTCACGCGAAGCCCTGTAACGAGCTCCCATGTTAGAGTACCGCGGTAGTTACCGGACTTAGCGAGAGGCTACCCATCATTGTTTACTGCATTCGCTTCCCTCTAACCGTCCCTACCCGCCGCCGTTCATCCTCGCAGCTTCCTCTTTCGCCCGCGTCTTCTCGTACCTCTCTCGGTCTTTCATTAATCTATTATTCTTGGCCGAGCTGCTTCATAAACTGCTTATCGTCCCCAATCAAGCTAGCGAGACGCCGGTAGGCGGATGGGACAAGGCGGCGCGTTAATCAGCTCTATCCTCTCCTGCCTCCGTCGGTCTTTTTTTTTCCACATCGAAACTGTGTACGCCATCGCTCTCAGAATAACTAAACAATTTTCTTAATAAAAAGAGATTGAATAATTTAATTAAAAATATAATGCGTATTAGTTGTACTTCAGCGCTGACCAGTTTCGTTTTATGGCGCTTAGCCTTATTATACGTGCGATCGATAAACTGCCACTGGTCGTTTCCCGTGTTTGTCAAAATCCCGCAGGTGTCTGTAGCAAGCCACAAGACTCGCTCTCCTGCCTCGACGTATCGCTTAGCCCGGAAATTGGAAGCAGGAGCAGGTAGATGAAACTAACTATAGCTAGCTTTTTTTATTAATCAGCTTGGAAGGTCGTTTAACGAAGCGTTTTATAAGCGTATCTATTATTATTACGAAATCAAATGACGGAACATTGTTATTACTTTGTTACTGCGCTCTCAATCGTTCTTTAATACAAACAGATGATGATTCGTCAGAAATGTGATAAAATGCTATGGCTACAGAACGGTGCACTGTATTTGCCTGCTCCGATTCTGTTGATTAGATATCTTATCTATTAGTGCTTCCAATATGCTTTGTGCTGCACACGGCATACGTCAATATTGTTAGCTCGTTACAACGATGACTCTGCAGCCTGTGAGAGAAGAAGAAAATTAAATGAAAAAGGCGTCAGTGTAACTGCCCGCTTTCCTCTTCAACGATTTTTCCCTTCCGCGAACGCACCGTCATCGTCGATCCATCCGATCGTTTTATTATCCGGTAGTGTCAAAAGATATCCGTGCGTCCTTCGCGGACTGTTCAAGTACGAACGGTTTCGGTATGGAAAGTGACTACTCAGATTGATCGGCGCACCTGGCATTGTACGGGTTTCGCGCAAAGCACGCGTCTCAAGGTCGCGCACATTGTGGCACGGTTTTTCCATTCAGAGCCGAAGCTGCCCGGCGGATTAGAACTTCTCGAACGTCCGTGGCGTGCATAAAGGAGCCCACCGTCAGTCGACGACGTGACAGATCGAATCACTGGCTGCCTCTTCCAGCTATAAAGGCCCCGCCGGATTATCTGCTCTTTGTGTCCGGTTGCGATTTCGTTATTGCTTCGAAACCTAAGAATGTTAATGGGGCCGTGAATGGTAACCATGAAGCCGATGGAAACGGACGGATTGAATCTGGAGAAAATGCGCTCGGCCTTCTATCGCGTCCTGTTTGATAGAATTTCTCGAAGCAAAGATGCTGTCTCGTATTCATAAATATAAAAGTAACCGTTTTGATTGATCGATGACACACCGATCGATTATATTGATTAAACCGATTCTAGTCTTAATATAATTTTTAATTTCCAACGTGCTTAGCTAATAATTTTGCGTCGAGGAGAGAATATGCAGTGTTAGTTTTCTTGGAACTTCTAAATATCTTCTACGAAGTTTTGATTATCAAAACAGGAGGAAAATAAGTGGTAGCCTGCGCGTATTTGAAAGTCTACGTGCGAAGCAGAGGGATTCAGAAAGTTGAAGAGTCAATGAATAAGTGAAGTGAAGGAGGAAATGGAAGTTCAAAAGTTAGCCAGCGTGGAATAATTCCCAGCATTCCACATTTTCGAAAAAGGATCAAGACAGTTGAACATTATAAAATGAATAATAAGTTGGAATGAAAAATGATTCAACTTGTAAGAAGATTGATAAAATTGGTGGATGAGAAAAATTACAGCACTCTGCGTTTGACGAAAGATCGTGCAGATTCATTAAAAGAAAAAAAAAGAGAAACAGAACATCGGTTGACTTCGTTACCACTTTTGCATCCTCAATTTATAGAAGAAATTCTCTTCCAAGAAACGTCGAACATCTCGTCTGGATATAAAGTTGTTCTTGCTCGAATGGAAGGACGCGAGTAACGATCAAAAACCGCAGAGCTGCGTTTCATGTCACGGCCAAAAATTACAACGACGCGTCACGTTTCGGTCGAGCCGGGTAGCGCGAATTAATAGCGATCCAGCGTGCAACATTTATTTTTGCCAGTCGGGCGAAACTTTGCGCCGCCGCTCGGGAAACAATCCGGCTCGCTGTAGGCAGGTATAGCGGTAATTTTTTTTTTCGGCTGACCTCCCGCTACAAGTAAAACGGCAATCGACCGCGAACGCACGTGTAATCGGTGACGGGCGTCTCGCATGGTGTTTTGCCCGGCAGTCGAGCGGACAGGACGGCTAGGCTGTTGCGACAGAGAAGAAAACGGGCAAATGGACGGAGGGATACGCATTCAATTTGCATCCGATAAATAAAAGGCGCGATTAACAGCGGCCCGACGGAACGAAGAAGGGTGTAAACGAGGGAATCCGCAATGCCCGTGTTCCAGCAACAACGGTCGTGGCAAAAAGTGACCGCAGCTTCAATCCGATCCGACTTCATTTCCATCCCACTTGAGTCGCGCTTTGTTGCTGCTACTCTTCTTCTTCTTCTCGTTCAGGGACACGCCCTTCCTGGTCGAGCCAGGACGACGTTACCCTGCGGTGGTACGATGCCAGGGTCGAGTTTATTATGATTATAAGGAGGTTAGACCCGCGACTCTCAAGCCTCGGACGGCCGGCTTCTCTTCTTCGATCTTCCTCCTTTTTTCTCGCTTCTCGCCGCTTCAGTCGGCCGACCGGCTCTGCCCGTTCTTTTTCTACGTTTTGCCGTTTCGAAGACGTCTCGCTATCGGAAGCGTATCAGCACCGATCTGCCTCCCCCCCCCCCCTTCTATCGGAACTATTCTTTCCACGAGCGCTGGCCCGGCTCGTTTGCCCTTCCCCTGTTCTCTTCTCTCTATCTCTCGGCCGATTCCCGGCGCTAATCGCGAGAGGCGGCGCGGCGCGAGAATCAAGGGTGAGGATGCGCCGCGACCGCAGCTACTTCTTTCAATGAACGCTGCCGCGGCCCTGACTGCCGTCTGTGGTTCCCGCTTTCAATGAGAGCGGCCCGTAAAAACTTTTAAGTACTCCTTCCACGTTGCCGGAGGGAGAAGCAGGAATCGCGAACGGACTTTACCACTAGGAAGACGGTAGGCAGTTAGCAGACTCAAAGGGTAAACCTCAATCGAGAGGCGAATCGGGGCGGAGGGTGGGTTTAAGCTAAAACCGGAAAACTGGCTTCGAGTTCTTACTGTCTGCTTTCACTACTTTTCGGTTCGTGCAAGAGCATCCGGCCGTGTACTTTAATTAAATCGTAGAGACTAGAGTCCGCGCTATGCATTTCGTAGGCGGTCTTGTTCCGCCGGACCGCGGAACTTCTTCGGACCGAATAATTGTATACGAAATTAAACCGGATCACTCTCCGTCTCTCTCTCTCTCTCTCTCTCTCTCTCTCTCGCTGGGGTCGAGTTTATTATGATTATGACTCGGCCGAAGCGCTTTGAAGTGGCATGCGTTAAAGGTTTCTTATTCACTTGTATTACACAGAACCGAAAAAGTTGCCGGAGGAGAACCGTGGCGGGAAGAAATGGATTAAACCGTGATTGCGGAGCATCTGAATAAAAACTCTCAATTGGCAGTAACCAGACAAACGTTTAGCACAATGTCAGTAGCATAAATCAGAGTACCTAGAATTTATTCCACAATTACACACGGACTATTCTACTTTTTAATACATCATTTTCCATTGTACTAAAAACTAAACTCGATACAAGTAGAAAAATACGTATCGAAGTATCAATTTGGAAACGAACGCGCGATAATGCATACGAAGAAGGTGGGAACGAGTCAAAGATGAATGCGATTGAATTTCCCAGCGACACGCGGGACACGTTTAACGAGATTGGAATAAAACGAAGACCGCTGGACAGGTCGGTTTATCAATCGCCGCGCCGGACGCGGCAGCCCTGGTTCTTTCGCGGAATCGCGGAGAGATCCATGGGAAATAATTGCAACCGTGACCGTCAATTTTGCGCGAAACTGATTTGCCTCCATTACACAGGTGTGCTCAGGCTCGGTATTGAATAATTTATGCGATCGAATCCTGCCGGTGGGTGGTACTATAATTCAAGTAGCCGCTATCGATGGAACGCTCCGAACCGGCCACGCGAACTGCCATTCCGCTCGTGTAGGCGTTTATAAATAAGGCAGTATGTCGATCTAATCGATCTGCTAAAGAGCGCTCGCCCACGGACACTTCTCTCGCGTTCTAGCCACTTTTGCCGATATTTAGTAGTCCATGTATATAGCAGCACTTGATAATTCAAGAGGGTAAGCCAATAAGAAGTGCCATATAAAACAAGTGAACAACGTTTTTTATGTACAGAATATTAGCCATAGTATATCAATCTTCAATCGAATTAAATCGATTCTAACTTAACGCTTGAACTATAATTATTTTGTTTGACTAATATTAATGTCAATTTGTCAGGAAGAAACGCATTCTTCATTTTTAAAGTCTGTTTTTAGAATTCACTCTTTGAATGAATGAATTTTCACGTGTCATCAAGAACGGCCTCTCCACGGTGGGACACAAAAATTTCTCAAACAGTCGAATGAAGTGATCAGTCTTGTTACCAACTGGTTCCAGTAAATTGTTCCACAAACCATTCGCATCTTGGGACATCGTGAAACAAATATTTAAGTGAATAACAAATTCGATGCATTGTTAAAGTCTCGATACTTACATAGCGCGTGAGTTTTCTGGCTTAAATGGAAGCAGTCAACGGATATGTAGGATGAATCACTGAATCCATCTCTAGCATTTGGTATTTCCGCGTGTTTAAGGACGGGTTGAATCTCAGTGATGAAATCATTTTTATTAAACTCTGGATAATTGGCAATTTCTTCGTCCAAATCTTGCCATCTGATTAATAAGAAAAGTATCAGTATTTACATGTATACAATTTTATGACTCATGTTTAGCAACTTTTATAAATAGATATATAGAAAATTGTGTAGGCACAATATAATTTTATTTACGTTACACACATACAGACCTACTTATTACATTATAATATTCTGCTCTTCGATCTTTGTATTGCAAACCGATTAAGCATGGACATACGATATTTGTAATGAAATAGCAGTCCAATGAGAATCTTCCTTTACGTGAATTAATAAATGCTTTTAAGTGTGGAGGTATGAGAATGGAAACGAACGTTCTTGGTAAATTGTCCCTCAATATTCTGAGAGTAGTTATCAAATCATTCTTATGTGACTCTAAGATAGACCATGGGGAAGGAGATATACACATTTCGCTACAGAAATCGTTACTTCCAATAAATAACGAAATTAACTGAAACACAGAAATAGATTGATTAAACAATTAAAAA